TGGGAGGCAGTGTTTTTCCGTGAGGGTTTTTTTCCTTCTTTTTTAACCAGCCTCTTGACGTGCTTCTGATTTCAGAGTAGGTCTTTTTTTTTTCCCTCTATCACTTTTGAGAAGTTTGTTTGTGAGATGACATTCTGTATCTTTTCAGAAGACAGATACGTAGGTTGAAATTCTGTGGAAACAAAGGTGGGTGGACAGTGGCCTTGCCAGGACGTCACGAGAAGGCTCTGCGTGCACGTGCGGGCCGTGGCCGCAGGAGGGGTGCAAGCGAGATGCGGAAGCAGGTGGTGCAGGGCAGAGGCATAACTAGAGAGAACACACATTTCTCCCTGCCAGTCTCGAGATTAAACAACAGCTGTGAAGTTCTCGAGAGCAAGAGGAGAGAGTGCATCCTTCTGAGATGAACATTCCATTTTTCCTGCATTTCTGTGTTTGCTGTGATTGCCAGGAAATGGGTTATTCCTGGTTTCTTTTGTTCCTAGCACTATAAAATAATGGTTAAATGTGGTCTAGTACTTGGTAGTTCTCCGAGCATGTTGTTAACCTGTTACTCATAGTAACTCTCAAGGTCCCCAAACACAGACGGAAGATGAGGCTCACAACAGGGAGGGGCGAGAGCTCTGCCCGGCTCGTAGCCTAAGTTGTTCATAGATTCGAACTGCTTACTTCTTTCTCACTGTAATTTATTTTCCAAACTTGTCTGACTGTAAGAGGCACCTGGTGTGCTTGTTCGTATACAGATGCCTAGGTCCATCCTCCAGTCATTCTGATTATAGTCCATCTGCAGTGGCCCCAGGTATCCAGTTTTTTAACAAGGTCATGAGGGGATTCTTATCTCAGGCACGTTTGGGGAATTTTACACAGCAGGCAGCTGAGATACGTCCAAGGTCACCCAGTCTGACTCCCCTTTCCCCACGTCTCTGGTCCCTGAGACCATCCCCCTCAGCTCCACACCTGCCTTCCTCAGAGGACACAGCCTGTGGCTGGCGCTGGTTAATTCTGCCACGTGTGTATCAAGTGCCTATTGTGTGTGAAACTCAGTCCTAGATGCCAAAAACAGGAATTTGAAGGTGAACAAGAGAATGGAGGAGGAGGTAGATATGTCAAGATAAATGGTGCAGACTCAGTGTTAAGATTTTATTTAATTTATTTGTGCAGAGGAGAGGTAATTAGGTCTACTTATTTATTTTTGGAGGAAGTACTGGGGGTCGAACCCAGGACCTCCTGCATACTGAGCATGCGCTCTACCACTTGAGCTATACCCTCCCCCTGCAAACTCAGTGTTAAGGATGAGTAAGTTCTCATTGCTGGATTCCAAGACCCTCTCCATTCCCTCATGTAAACCTACACATACGTGATGCCCTCACGCGGAATACTCACTTCACGGCCAGTAGACCCTGCCCTAGTGTCGTAGTCTCAAAAGAGGGGGGTGTTCAGAAAGATCTCTGAGACACAAGAGCAAAATAATAGAACTTTTCTTTGCTCACACTTTAAAATTTTCTGGTTTTCTATTTTATGATAGACCTGGTATATTACATATGCATGCAAATATATGTATGCATAGAAACACGTGAAGATGCATAATCTACACAATTCTCAAACAAACCGACATGGAATACATGCTCAAAAACACTTTAAATAACTATAAGGTGGCGTGCGGCTCAAGAAGCTTGCAGCCCAGTGCTCAGGCCCACCGGCTCACCTCCTGCAGGAGACTCTCAGGCTCCCAGGAGTCAGTATTACCCCTTCCGTACCTGTTGATGTCTGTTATACTTGTAATTATTTGCTATATTTTAATTAAAGTTTAATTAACAAGCCAGTGAAATACTGTTTTGGGGGGTTTTTTTAAGAGTAATCCCTGAAAACTGAATTGGGCAGACTTGTACATAATCCTGATTGGACAGTTTTGTTTGTTTGTTTAAATGCAGGTACTGGGGATACAACCCAGGACTTCGTGCATGCTGAGCACACGCTCTACCGCTGAGCTGTTCTCCCCCTCCTTTTGTTTTTTTTTTTTGCTATCAAATTTAGGGTGGGCAAATTTAGGGTGGGCAACTGTGAACAGTTGAGAAACAATCATAAGAACCTAGGATGCTGCTTTAGTTTGCAAAAATCTAAGTTCATGCCAGGCCTTAAAGAATCTAAAAGTAGTGACAGCAGTTTGGATCATCACTTGGTGGAACCAGACTCAAGTGTGAGTCCTTGGCCTTCCATAAGAAGATGGGCCAATCAAGTGTGTAGTGGGTTTTTGTTACTCACAGTAGTTAATGTTCTGTGAAGTCTCCACAAACACAGAATCAGTGGACACTGAACCATCGTTCCTGGGGGAAACAGGGTTAAGCTTCCTATGAGCCTCTGGTCACATTGTCATCAATTGATCCAGACATAACTTTTTATTAAGTGCATTTCTGTTTAAGGACAGTATTTAGTATATGCCGTTGACTCATCCCATCCACAGTGGACACGCAGCCGCCTGCACGGCAGCTCACACCTGAGCTCAGCTCAGCTCACACACGTCTTCTCCGTGAAGCACGTCACAGGCTTCTTGCCCTTAGGGACACCAGACAGCACTTCAGCACCACGCCTGGGCACCAGTTTAAACAGCAGAATCGTAAGAAGCAGCATTAAAACACTAGAGACGTGGCACCATGCAGACGGTGGAAAGGAGGCTCATTGACAGCAGGCGCTGAAACGAGAAGGCAGAGTATCTCCTTGTCCGAGCCCACTGGGAGCGTGCGTGGTGGGGACCGACGCTCCTCCCGCCCTGCTGTGCTGCGAGTCCGGGAACGCTGGGAGCATTGCTTCAGGGTTACAGATACTCGTTATCAAGTGGGCAAATTCACAAACACAGAATCTACAGCTAATGAGGAGCCACTGAATGTTTTAGGTCGAGTGAAATATTGAACGTGTGCGTGACTTTTTTTACGAGGCCCCCCGGTTACCTGACGTTGATTAACGAGCCCTTTTCTGCCAGACAGAGGCAGCCCTGCTGTCTTCCCAGGGCAAGCAAGACCAGGTCTGGACTTCAGTGTAGGGGGACAGTCGGCACTTCCTGGGTCATCGGGATGAAACGAGCTGAAGGATTTGTTGCAGTGTCCCAGCGCTGGTAGAAAGTAATTTTAAACCCTTTGCAAATACTCTACACGAAGTCCGTGTAGTTGGTGCCAACTGTTCATTCGGGAAGAGTGAGCTATCGTGGACGTCAGGTGGCACCAGCCCGAGCGCCCCGGGTGACGTCTCTCTAGCTGCCTTTGCACTTGTCCGGTCTTTCCTGTCCTCTGAGTCTCGTTTCTCAGGGAAGGCACCGACCGGCCTCCAGCTCCCACAGCTCCCTGGACTTCACCTGCTTCCGGCCCAGCCAGGAGAGAGGGGAAGAGGACAGGGTTGGGGAGAGAAAGTCTGAACAATGCCAGGGATTGCCAGGATTGGAGCTGGGAGAGAAGGAAGCTGCTTGGTGCGGGCCGGGGCTGTGAGAACTTGGGGCACCAGTGAGCTTAAGCAGAAGTCCCTCAAAAGGAGTTTGTGTTTTGAGTGGCTCGCGGGAGCCCAGCCGGCTGAATTTAATTGCACGACGACAGGCATCTTGACGGCGAGATGTGGCCACCTCAGCGCTGGGGCCAGGAGGCTGAGGTCGCGGGGCGGCTGCGACGGCCACCGCCCGCTGGGGGGACAGAGCCACACAGATGTGGCACTTGCCTCAGTGCCACACAGATGCCAGCTCAGCTGCTTCACAGGTGATCCCGTTAGCACTTTTATTTCCAGGGAAGAATGTCAAAGAAGAAAAAGCTTCCATTAAGGTGTGTGTGGTGTAAGCCTCATCAGGCTGCTTTGCCCTCTGGGCCCCAGATTCCTTCTCTGTAAAACAGGAATAAGACCCCCTTAAGGGTTTTTGGGGGGGTAAAATGTGTCTGGACATGTGAATCCTTAGGACGATGCTGGGCACGCAGTGCTATCCAGCGGGACTCTGGTGATCCTGGAGTGCCTGGCGCAGTTGAGCCCGTGAGACGGGGCTCATGTGACTGAGGACATTTTATTTACATTTAAATGTAAACAGCCACGTGTGTCTCTCGTGGCTACTGTATTCAGGTCTAAAGGATGTGGATGATCTCATAGTGATACTTGGTTATTAAGACGGTTCTCAGTGAAGACCTAGAAGACAACACTGGTGTGACCCATGGAGGAAATGAGACGTCATTACAGAGTGGACTTTGTTGCGCATCTGCATGGCCCTGAACGGTTAAGATATATGCGGTCGTCTCTGAAGCGAAGCGTGATGCAGTCTTAGACCGCGTTTGTCAGAGTCTTTCTAGGATAGGGAGACGGCTCTGCGGTAGGTGAGGGTGGGAGTAGGACCAGGGCTCACGTTTTGTCTTTGCTTCTTACTGGCTGCGTGACCTCAACCACGTGGCTTAACATTTTTTGAGCCTCAGTGCTTTCATCTGGAAGATGAAGGTCAGGATGCCCACCCCACCTGCCAGGTCGTGGGGTGCCCTTGACTTAGCACGGGCTCAGTACCTGGGGGCTCTGCTTGTTTCTTAGATAATAGTAGGTAATGATACCAGAATTGAAGACACAGTTGCTGTCATGTGCGGCTAACTCAGTTGGAGAATTTATCGTGTTATCCCAGTCACACACCAGGGGTGCTGACGTGATTGCTCTAGCTGCTGTGGAAATTTTGGCTTTTGAATGTTCTTGATAATCAGAATCCACAGAGCCAGGGAGGGGAAAGTTCTCTCCACATGGCGTAAGGTAGGTAAGAGCTGGTGGCCCCAGGTTCCCACCTCGGCCGTCTGCAAAGACCGGATATCCAGAGTCTGGAAGGACATAGGTTTTTTTTTTTTAAAAAGGAAGAGGTTTTTGTTGCTCACTGGCTTCTTGATGTCTTCTCGTCTTTCTACTGCTCAGTCGAGGTGAAGCAGCAGAAAACAGAAAACACAGGCTAACGGACAGGTGGACACTGACCTGGCTGCCTCCTCACGTCCCGCCCTGTCTTCTCGTAGGTGTGACATTTGCTGTGTCACCTTTCGAACACATCGAGGGCTGCTCCGCCACAACGCACTTGTCCACAAGCAGCTTCCCAGGGACGCAGTGGGGAGGCCTTTCATCCAGAACAACCCCTCCATCCCTGCCGGCTTCCACGACCTGGGCTTCACCGACTTCTCCTGCAGGAAGTTTCCTCGAATTTCTCAGGTATCCCAGTCTGCCCATGACCAGCAGCCGTGCTCCGCGCTCCGCGGGGCTGGAGGGACTTCCTCCCCCGGGGCTTCCTCTCCTTAAAATGCTGTCATTTGGGTTTTGTCTCTTTAACAACACCTGTCCCTTGAAATACAGCTTGGCCCTTTCTGTCTCATCGGGTTGTTGAGGTCAGAGGGGTAGGTGGCCTTTTACTTTGTGTTGAATGTCATGTTAACTGGTGTGTGAGTCCTGCTCATCAGTGCGTTTGGGGGGCAATTAGGTTTAAAGAGAATTATTCCCTACCCTGCCCAGCTCTCGCTGAATTGAATTTGTAAGTTTTAAATATCTCCTGAATATCTGTATCACAACCAATTTCCAATGTTGTGGTTTCTACTAAAATATTTTGGGTCGTTAGTAACCTGAACTGTATTTGTTCTTTGCTTATAAAACACCTGCTAAAATTACTTTGGAACTGTTTTTATCAGCAGTGAAATTGTTCCAGTGCAGAAGCCCCAAGCTCAATGACTTATTCCTTGTGGATGTGCCCACAAGCACACGTCCATGTGTGTGCACTCATGTGCCCCCGCCCGTGACGCTCCCTCATGCCCCTCCCCAAGGCAGCGCCCTCCCCCACAGTCACATTCGAAGAGAATTCACCCTACCTCTGTGGTATTACTACTTTGGGGCACCTCAGTGCTTCTCTGCTCAGATTCCCTGAGGCCCGGTGTCGTGCCTCAAGCTGATAGGATTTGAAAGATGCTTTGTTGCTTTCCTTACTCGGTCCCAGAGGTAGCAAGCAGGGGAAGGTCGACGCCCTCCCTGCTGTGGAGAAGGTCCAGGTCCCAGGGCAGCTGTACTTCTGCGTCTCAGCTCATGATCATTTCTAAATGCTGCTCTCTGTTCCCTTGCTTTTGCCCGGCTTCCGTGCAGGCCTGGTGTGAGACGAACCTGCGCAGGTGCATCAGCGAGCAGCACCGTTATGTCTGCGACACGTGTGACAAGGCCTTCCCTATGCTCTCCTCGCTCGCCCTGCACAAGCAGACCCACGGCGCTGCCGACCAGGGACGGGAGAGGCTGCAAGCCAGGGCCCCGCCCGGCGACGCCCTGGACCAGAAGGTCTTCCTGGCCTTGCTGGGCCTGCAGCACACCACCGACGCCAGGCCGGCCCCAGCCGAGGAGCCACTGCCGGATGACAACCAAGCAATACAGCTCCAGACACTCAAGTGTCAGCTACCTCAGGACCCCGGCTGCGCCAGCTTGCTGAGTCTGTCTCCTTTTGAAGCTGCTTCCCTGGGCGGTTCTCTCACCGTCCTCCCGGCCACCAAGGAGAGCATGAAGCATCTGTCCCTGCAGCCCTTCCAGAAGGGCTTCCTCATCCAGCCTGACAGCAGTATTGTGGTCAAGCCCATCTCCGGGGAGTCGGCCATCGAGCTGGCAGACATCCAACAGATCCTGAAGATGGCGGCCTCCGCCCCTCCTCAGATCAGTCTTCCGCCTCTGTCCAAGGCCCCCGCTGCCCCTCTGCAGGCCATCTTCAAACACATGCCCCCCCTGAAGCCAAAGCCCCTGGTCACCCCGCGTACGGTGGTGGCCACCTCCACACCCCCGCCCCTGGTCAACGCGCAGCAGGCCTCGCCGGGCTGCATCAGCCCCAGCCTGCCGCCGCCACCGCTGAAGCTGCTCAAGGGCTCAGTGGAGGCGGCCTCCAACGCCCACCTGCTGCAGTCCAAGTCCGGGGCCGCGCCGAACGCTGCTGCCCCACTCTTCCTGCAGCAGCCGCGTGCCGAGCTGCCAGGCCAGGCCGAGATGAAGACGCAGCTGGAGCAGGACAGCATCATCGAGGCCCTGCTACCCCTGAGCATGGAGGCCAAGGTCAAACAGGAGATCACGGAGGGGGACCTCAAGGCCATCATGACCGGGCCCGGCGGCAAGAAGACGCCCGCCATGCGCAAGGTGCTCTACCCCTGCCGCTTCTGCAACCAGGTGTTTGCCTTCTCGGGGGTGCTGCGCGCGCACGTGCGCTCCCACCTGGGCATCTCGCCCTACCAGTGCAACATCTGCGACTACATCGCCGCCGACAAGGCGGCGCTCATCCGCCACCTGCGCACACACAGTGGCGAGCGACCCTACATCTGCAAGATCTGCCACTACCCCTTCACGGTCAAGGCCAACTGCGAGCGGCACCTGCGCAAGAAGCACCTCAAGGCCACGCGCAAGGACATCGAGAAGAACATCGAGTACGTGACCAGCAGCGCGGCCGAGATGGTGGACGCCTTCTGCTCCCCTGACACGGTGTGCCGGCTCTGCGGCGAGGACCTGAAGCACTACCGTGCGCTCCGCATCCACATGCGCGCGCACTGCGGCCGCGGCCTGGGCGGCTGCCCCAAGGCCCGCAAGCCCTTCGAGTGCAAGGAGTGCAACGCCGCCTTCTCGGCAAAGCGCAACTGCATCCACCACGTCCTCAAGCAGCACCTGCACGTGCCCGAGCGCGACATCGAGAGCTATGTCCTGGCGGCCGATGGCCTGGGCCCCGCCGACGGGTCTGCCGAGGCCCCGGGGAGGGCGGAGGAGGGCGGCGACGCCTTGGGCGAGCGCAAACCCCTGGCCACTTTCCTGGAGCCCCAGAACGGCTTTCTTCACGGAGGCCCCACCCAGCCTCTGCCCCACCACGTCGCGGTCAAGGTGGAACCCGCCAGCAACTTCACAGTGGACTTCAATGAGCCCCTGGACTTTTCCCAGAAGGGCCTGGCCCTGGTCCAGGTGAAGCAGGAGAATGTGGCCTCCTTCCTGAGCCCCTCGGCCTCGGCTCCTTACGACTGCTCCATGGAGCCCATCGACCTGTCCATCCCCAAGAACTTCAGGAGGGGAGACCAGGATGCGGCCACCCCTGGATTAGCCAAGAAGCCTGAGCAGGAACCGGGGAGCAGCGAGCAGACCTCTCCCTGCCCACCAGCCTGCCCCACCCAGCCGGTGACCATGGGGCCCAGCGGAGTCCTGGAAAAGTCTGAGGCCCCTGCAGCAGCCTCAGCAGCCAGCACTCTGGAAGCCCCGGCTCCATCCCTGCAGGGCTCCGTTCAGCTGGCCGTTCCCATCTACTCCTCAGCCCTGGTCAATAGCTCCCCAGTCTTGGGCAACTCCACCCTCATCAGCAGCCCAGCCTTGCTGCGGCCACTGCGCCCCAAGCCCCCACTGCTCTTGCCAAAGCCCCCCATGACAGAAGAGCTGCCCCCGCTGGCCTCCATCGCCCAGATCATCTCATCCGTGTCCTCAGCCCCTACCTTGCTGAAAACCAAGGTGGCAGACCCAGGGCCTGCGAACACTGGCAGTAACACCACCGCTTCCGACAGCATAGGGGCCACCATCCCCAAAGCCACCACCGACACCACCAGCCCAAAAGAATCCAGCGACCCACCCCCGGCTGCCAACAGCCCAGAGGCAGCCTCACCCACCGAGCAGGGACCAGCTGGCTTGTCAAAGAAGAGAGGCCGGAAAAGGGGGACGAGGAGCCGGCCACGTGGCAGTGGTGGGGTGGACCTAGACTCCAGTGGGGAGTTCGCCAGCATCGAGAAGATGCTGGCCACCACGGACACCAACAAGTTCAGTCCTTTTCTGCAGAGCGCAGAGGACGGCGCTCAGGATGAGGTGGCTGCGGCCCCCGCAGACCACAACGGGCCCAGTGATGAGGAGCAGGGCAGCCCGCCGGAAGACAAGCTGCTGCGGGCCAAGCGGAACTCCTACGCCAACTGCCTCCAGAAGATCAGCTGCCCCCACTGCCCGCGGGTCTTCCCCTGGGCCAGCTCCCTGCAGAGGCACATGCTCACACACACTGGTAAGAGGGCCCGCCGCCCTGGGCTGCGCTTCCTCGCGGGGAGGCTGGGGCTCGCCAGCAGGGGTGAGGGGGCGGCAAGGGGTGGGTGGAAAGTGGGGCCCTCTTCCCACATCCCCATTCCTAGCCTCTCTTCTTCTTCAGTCTCAGAAGCAGGGGGCTTGCCTGATGGGGCCAAGAGTTCTCCCCCTGTGCTCTTGTAACCAGAGTGCCCTGTTTCCGTCGCCTGGGCCTCCGAGGGCTGCTGGTGAAGGGAGGTGTTCAACAGGGTGTTTTTAGGTGAAATGGTCTTGGGCCATCAGATGCCTCACCGGGTCTCAAGATTATCTACTTGGTTATGCACAGGAGGCAGCTAGGGAGACAGGGGACTTTGGCAGAAGAATTTGCATCCTCAAAGCAGCTTTTAAAATTCTAAACATTCCATGAAGTTCTTTCCACTGGGAAATACTGCAAATTTTGCAGCTACCTTTCAGTTCACTAAGGCAGTCACATCTTCTCCTGTTCATTGTGAACATCAGTGACAGAATAGTTTTAGAATTTTTTAAAATTTTTGTTTATGCTGAAATTGTCAGCTATTCCAAAGAGACGTGCAAATATAAATACTATTCTAAGTTGCAGGCTTAAGTTGCCAAAAAGATATCCCGAAAGTATTTTTCAAATGTTTTTGTATGTTAATTTTTTAAGAGACATTTAAGATAAGAAGTACACTTTAAATAACTTGATACCAAGTACTTAGTAGTCAAATGACCATACAGTTCTCATCTTAATTCTGAATATTCAAACAGGATTTATGTCTTTGGAGTAAGGACAAACGGGGCGAGACCTTTAACCTTTTGGAGATTACTGTGCAGATATTAATTGATAGGACCTAAAACCAAACAAAGAATTGTATGGTACAGGATTGCCAGATAAAATACAGGATACCAACTAAATTTTGAATTTAAAATAAGCAACAAGTAATTTTCAGTATAAATATTTCCCATGCACTATTTGGGATATAGTGAAGACATATTTGTTATATATCTGAAGTTCAGATTTAACTAGGCCTCCTGTATTTTTTGTTGCTCAATCCAGCAACCCCCAGGTAGCTTGGAGACATAGGATGGTGTGGCCAGGGGGAGATGGTAGCTGGGTGTGAGCCACACTCTCTACCCATATGGAAATGCTTCATTCAGGGTGGACCATCTGTGAAGATTTCAGAAGCCCAAGGAAGGCTGTTTCTATTCTCAAGGTGGAACATTGGGAGGGAGTGGCAGTTGTCCCTGGGAAACGAGGGTGCAGGGGAGACAGGGAGGGTAGGGCCTGCCGCAGGGTCTCTGAGGCTGGCCGCCGTGTGGACATGGCTTTTCTTCCTGGCATGGTGAGGCCTCGAACCCAGGCATCGAATGGTGGCCGGTCAGGAGGGCCTGTCCACAGAGGATTCATTTAACGGAATCCAGAATACCTAGCTTTGTGGAGTATGTGCTGCATTTTCAAGCCATCATTTCCTCACCTTTTTGAGATCATTGAAGCCTGACAAAGTAAAGTAACAATTCTAATGAAGAAAGCAGTTCTCTCTTGCTACCCTTTTTTGGGTAACACTTGTTTGTCGCCTGCAGTCTCTGGAGAAGTGAGTATTCCTCTCACCACTTTGCAGCAAGCAGATGGTCTGGATCTGACAATGAGTGTCCTTGTCCTGCCTCGCCCTGCACGCCCCACTCTCACCGCCTCCTCCGGCTAGGAGCCCTTTGCTCAGAGGGTACCATTTATGCCCAGACGTTCCCTTCCCGGCCAGCAGCCGGTACTTCCTCTCAAGAGCCATGCCTGTGTCTTCGCTGGTGCCTGATAGACGTTCCCACTGGTGAATCCAGTCACTTCCATGGCCTGGCTTTTGAATGCCAAAGTGTCCTCACTGGTTTAAAACTTGGTGATGTCTGAAGTGAGCCGGGAAGATGGGAATTTGTTGAGTACGGGTTGGGTGGGTATAAGTAGAAGTGTGTTTTGCCACCTCTCCCCCTGCAGTCACTGTTCCCTTAGTGGCCGTGTCTGCTTCTGCCCCGTCCCTGACATCCCGTGTTCCCATCGTGGGGGCTGCAGACCTCGTCTCTTGAGGGGAGCATTCAGGGTGGGTAGAGAAATCTTTCAGAGTTAGTCTTGGTGACAGTCCCATGAGGGTGATGTTATCCGCATTTTGCCATGACGAAATCGAGGCTTAGAGAGGCTTAAGTAATTTGCTTACAGGCATTTGGGCATGAGCAGTCATGCTGGAGTTCAGAGCCAGGGTCAAGTTCCCTGCAGCTGCCCCATGGTCTGGCCCCAGGGGTGTGTCTGCTGGGTGCCTCTTCTGCCTCCCTGTGTCCTGACATGTCCCAATGCAGAGGATTGGGAAGTGCTTTGAGATAAGGTCGAACCCAGATGTGGACCAGCATGCCGTTGACCAGAGACCTCATGACCACGGGGTGGTGGTAGCCACACGCCTGGGCCTGGGTGAAGGCTGGCGCCCAGGGGGCTCAGTTAACTTCCTCTGCTGTTCCGATCCCAGCCTCACCTCTGTGAAGCAATAGTATAGAGCACTTGGCCACGTCTGGTGCTGTGTTAGAGGTGAACAGGGCCTGGGAGATGACCCAACCTGCCCCTCCTCCAGCACACGGAGGTCCTCCTCATATACGGCTCTGCTGTGGAATCCCCGAGTGCCTGGCCCCCAGCTCCCTCCTTAGTCCTGAAATCGGACATATAAGAGGACAGAAATTAAACATGAACTCTGGAATGACCCTGAAAAGGACCCATCTTTCCTGTCTTCTCCCCTCGCCCTCCTCCTTCTCTGGTGATGTTAAAATCTAGCTGTGTTCCAGCCAGAAGCTTTGAGCAGTGTACGGGTTTAAATTGCATTGAGGCAAACTGTGGATCTTGAGAGTTAGTTTTCTCCAGCCTCTCGGCCAGTGCATACCATTCTGACATCTACATGTCGTCTCATGGACATGTTTCCAGTGCACCCTGCCTCCCGAACGGGCAGCGTTAAGTAGCCCAGATGTCAAGTGTCCAGCCAGGGGTTTGCTGTTGCTCAGGCAATGGGCATGTGGCTTCAGCCCTTTGTCTGCCTGGCTCAGGTTCTAGGAATCGTGTCTTATGAGGAAGTGGGCATCTGCTAGCATATTTCATGTCCTGGCGTGGTCTGCACACATGGCTGAGTTTCCTCTTCCACTCCTCTGCCAGCCCGTGCCGTCCTGTTGATGGGGGACAGTCGTGTTTCCTTCTCGGCCTCAACAGTGCCACCACCTTTTCAGGAGAAGATGGCTAACTGTTCATTCCTCTTCCCCTCGGGAGCATCCCATGTGTTTTTAGGCCACCGGTGGAAGAGAGAACACCAGGAAACAGTCCATTTCAGCCCCGTCCCCAGCTTCCTCCTCGTGAGCTCGGGAGGTCGGGGCCCTGTGATGGCTGAGGTGCCCTCCAGCTCTGACATTCCTGGTCCCCTTCCTTGCTCACTTTCTCACGGTTGGTTTTACTGCCCCTTTTTGCCAGCCTGGGGCCCTCCCCACCCACCCCTCTCACCCCCTGCTCACAGGCAACAGGCACCGGAGTTGAAATCAGTAAGATGTGCAGACCTGAGCATGGAAAGCACTTCTGACAACAGCTGTGTTGGCTGCTTTTAACTTTCTTAAGTTTCAGCTCTGAACGCGTTTCACCTGGCTGGCTCCGTGCACCTCTGCCGGGTGCAGAAAGGCCGGCAATATGTAAAGAAGGAAGCCTGGACCGCGAGGCTGGTGGGGGCGGCGGGGGCGATGGAGGGAGGCCTGAGGGGGCGCAGTGTGAGCCATCAGACTTAGTTTCATTGTTCGCCCTTCACTCCCTCCTGCCCCGGTGCCTGCCAGACAGCTCTCTTTGTTTCTTGACTGTTTGGTGAGAGTGAAATGACTGGCTGACATGGGGGGCATCGGGGGGAGGATACCATAGGTCTTAGGTGCAAAGGTAACTCCTTGTGGTTACAGGTACGTTTAGAAACACCCTTGCTAAAGCAGTCTTTTGTGGCTGTTACCAAATAAACAAAATCACTGGATACTTTCCACATAGATTACCAGTCAGCAAGGTTGTTTTGAAACCTGTATGATTATAAAATACTAAAAGGGCTCTTGTTTCCCTCGGTCCATGCAGCCTGGAGAACACACTGCTGTTTAGACTGTGTGACTTACGCAGGGAATTGGGAACTTTTAAAGACTCCTGTTAGTTGTCACTTCCGGAATCTTCCTAATTGGATGCAATACCTTCAGGTCATTGAATTGTTTTCTAAATTTAACCTTAACATGAATCTTCATCATCATGGGACATCAGCCTGGCTATTCAAACCAGCTGTAAAAGTGAAGCATTTACCAGTGTGAAAATGACAGAGTAAATCATGTAATAGGAAGAAGCAAGAAGCCACTTGCTTTGTTTGAGATCAGGAACCGAATCACAGTTCGCAGTCACAGCTTCGGACTTGTTTTCCTCTCAGCCTGGTTCTCTTGCTTTCAAACTGGCCTGACTCAGAGAAGCCGTGATGCTGCCTCTGCAGATAAAATGTTGAAGGAAAAGTATTTTCTTCTTCCTTCAAACAGAGCCTGAATAATTACTAAATATTGTGTTCAACTTGTAGCGAAGTGGGGAAATGGGGAAATTTGAAGGAGACACAAAAAACATTAAAATACTTTACAACTAGTCTTCATGCAAAAAGCGCATTTAAAAAAAATGGGCATTTTTATAAATTTAGCAGAAAACACCTAGGAGCTTTGTGAAGCAGTCGGTGGGTTTTCCACTTCATCCTCTGGGTCCCAGGTGGGTGGAGCGCCTTCAGAGTGCATGTGCCGCATTTCCCAGTGTCTGACTCGACCCTTCCCAGGCTCTGACTCCGTGGTCTTTGATGGTTCTAGGCATCTGTGGTCTTAAAAAGCACCATGAGTGATTTGGAACCATTGCCCAGAGCGAGTGGCTGTCCCCTTTCTTGGATTACTGCTGATGCTCAAACTTGGCGGTGTGGGGGTTTGGGCGGGGCCGGGCCGCACGCGGCGCGCTCCGTGTGAACAGCGCCCCCAAGTGGTGCGGCCCTTCCTCTCCTGCGAGCGCTGGGTGCCTGGGCTTGTGCGCCTGCGCTGGTCCTGAGGTCCGTTGATGCTCACCTGAATGCGCACGGAAGGCTGAAGGCCCCCTAGTTGGTGTTCGGAGGCAGCTGTGCTGGTTGGCTTTCCCCATTTCCTGACGTGTGTTTGATTGTAGCAACCCTGGGGTTACGAGACAGAAGTGCTGGCTGCAGCTCTTGAGTCCTGTTTGTTGGCACACAAAACCTTTTCCCTGTAAAATCAGAAACTGGGACTTAGGATGTGGCACTTGGGGAAAACAGAAGAATCAGTGTTGCAGTAAATGATACCCCCCCCCAACCAAAGCCCACATACTCTCTTCCCTGGTCCCCTGCTGCTTTCCTTCTGTCCGGCCTCACTTTCTGCCCTTGCTTTGCCCTCGTGTCCATCCACGCAGACCCGGGACCAGGTGCAGCCTGCAAAAGGAACCCGAATGGAAGGAGAGGAGAGGCCAGCAGCCAAAGCAGATAACTGCGGGCGAGGGACGGGCAGGCTGCCCGTTTGTGGGGTCGGTGGGATCGGAGGCTGCTCGGTGCTGGCTTCCCACATGGGTTGCTGAGTGGAGTTCATGGTCTCTGATAGGTGACTCAGGGACTTGGTCACCTGTCAGCCACCAGCCAGAGTGTAGAGCACTGGGTCAGAGAACCTTTGTGCACTGAGCAGACCTTCCCTGTCTTGACGGCTAGGACCACAGTGACCTTGCACAGAAATCAGGCTGGAGGCATGCTGGGAAGTCAGAACTCAGTGCTTCTGGTCAAGGTGGGAGGGCTAGACACACCAAGGACAGGAAGAGGGCTGGCCCCCGACACTTCCAGGGGCTTCGAGGTTCCCCCGGGGCCCAGGCACCACCCTTCATCCCGTTGGCCTCCCCACATCCGCGGTCCAGGCCAGGCTGGAAGTGGCCGCAGCGTCTCCTCTCTGTGGTAGGGCAGGTGTTTTCCTGCCGGGCTCTGAAGTCCCTTCACTCACTGTTGTTGTGTGAGGTTTTTAATTGTAATACTGTTATTTTACTTTAAACTTATGTATCTTGGTTTCACTGTTAACTTTAAGTACTTTGAAGACAAAGCCTTCATCCCACTCAGGATAAAGGAAGGTGACTATTTGAGTTGTTGATGTTCTCAGTATGTTTTTTTAAACGTGTTTTGTTCACTTTCTTAAAAGAAAAGGGTGGAGGAGGGGGAAACAAATGCCAGTAATCCCTGGAGAACGAATTGAAAGGGACTTTTTCTTCTTAACGTTGCAGTAGAAAGCCAGATAAATATGTATTTTTCTTCCTGCTTCAGGTCAGAAACCCTTCCCTTGTCAAAAGTGCGGTGCCTTCTTTTCCACCAAATCTAACTGTGAACGCCACCAGTTGCGCAAACACGGAGTTCCCGCCTGTTCCCTGAGAAGAAACGGGCTTATCCCCCAGTCAAAAGAGAGTGATGTTGGAGCCCATGATAGCACAGGTAGTGCTTCCAGGTGACGGAGAGGAGGGCCTCCCTTTCTCCGCAGGACCCGAGCCCGTCCCAGCAGGGCGCCTGCAGCAGGTCGGGCGTGGGGGCCTCGGCCGCCCCGGCCGCTTCTCCCAGCTGCTAGGGAAGACGTGCCCCCCAGCTGACGCCGGCGGTGCCGCTGGCCTCTGGAGGCGGGCTGTGTGGGTAGGAACACGTGTAACAGGGATGTGGAACCTCTCGGGGTTGTTTCCTGAAACCCCAGCCTCCGCCACATCCTACAGAGCAGGGATGGGCTCGCTCAGACGTCAGAGTTTTGCAGGAACTAGTGATGCCCAGGCCTCCACAGGGAGGGGCAGGCGGGGCGGGGTGTTTCTCTTTTCAATAACTCTCTTCCCAGTAAAAAAAGAAAAAACTTTGTCTTGTTTGAAAAAGCACTCTGCATGTCCTTTCTTTAATCACATCTCTGCTTGACCTGAATCCGGGCATTATTCTCCTGTGCTGCCACGTGCTTCCTTCCTCCGGCCCGTACAGAGCAATTAACGGCTGCCCCGTGCGTCTCCTGCCACCTTTCTTCCCCTCACAGCTTCTCTGTTTACTCATGTCCCTCTTCATACATTCCATCTTCTCCAGCTGCTGGGGTTTTGGGCCCTCCCCACCCCCAAAACAAAGAATCAAACAGACCGGCTACTGCGGGTTACGCAGACACATGGCTGGTTGGCCACTGCGGAATGACTGTTGCAGGAATGGGTTCAGTTCGACACATCTTGAAAGCTTGACGTTTCCCTGTTGCTTGAAGCTGAGGAGATTGCCCCCCACCCCACCCCAAGAGTGTTTTTCTAGGGCTGTAATTGTGGCCTGTGTTCTTTCCTCAGCCTTGGGTGGGGTGGGGTGCTGTGTTGTCTGGGGGCCCCCTCTCCTGCACTGGGAGTCAGTGTGGACTCGAGGGTCAGGCTTTAACCCCAGCCCCCTTGTCCTTATCTCAGTCCCAGGGGAAGAGGGTGCAGTGAATGCGCAGCATTTCCAGGAAGAGGACTTGGCCCGGCGCCCTCCTCTCCTTACCCCCACCCCCCACTGAGCCTGCTGTCCCCAGCCCTTGAACTGCCAGGCCCTGGGTTCCCATCACACCCTCTTGAGGTATAAAAGCATAGGCGAGTTTGCCACCTCCCGCCTGCAGCTTCCATGTCCACGTAACTCGCCAGGATCTTAGAGTAGAGAAAGGTCCAGGTGCCCACGGAGTCGTCTTGCCATGACTTGTCGCTGGGTGACCTGCGATTGAACCCCGGGAAGCCAGCCACCAGGCCAGCAGAGCACACCTTTGCTGCAGACGACCCCTCAGTGTCTGAGCCAGTGGCACGTCACCGTCTTCCCGGCCCATTTTCTCATGGCCCAGCTTAAGAAAGTGGCTGTGATTCCACCCACCATGGTGCCGAAGGAGGGGAAGCAGCTGAGGATTGAGGGAGTCAGGGGAAGGGGGGTGGCCCTTGATTTCCCGCGCTCGCAGACAAGCCTTAAAGTGAGACCACCCCGTGGCAGGTGCTCACTTGGAGTCCAGCACCTTGATGGTCCAGAGGAGTGAGCATGCCCCGCCCCCGGGCTCCTGCTGATGCCGGAGGGCAGCCAGAGAAGCCCTTGGACATGAAGCTCAAGGGGACTCATGTCTTAGCTTCGAGGCGGCACCACCTCTTCATGGTGGGTGGGTTTGTTTTTTTAAATTGCAGTTAGGAGTTTTGTTTTTCCGAGTCCCGTCAGCATCCTTCGTGCCCCTATCCTGCCCAGAGGTTGTGCATGTTGGCTTTGAGGGGCAAAGCCTCTGGAAAAGACAGATCAGTAAGAGCTGAAACGTGAAACCAGCAAAGAGAAAATACAGGTTTGGTTTAATTGTGGTCACCATGCATGGTAAGAAAGACTGAGATGCAAGCCGGGAAGGAGGAGGGGCAGGGAGGCGGAGTTCAGTGATTTCAAGGAGAGGTTTTAAAGCCAGGTGAGCGTGATGGAGGGAGGGAAGATCTCTCTCTGGCTCCCTCCCATGAAGTTAAAAGTGAGGCTTTGGAGGAGGACCATAAAGACACAAAGGCAGGAAGTAACCGGGGCGGCTCTTGAGGTCTTTCTAGGTTGCATTTTCTTAAAAATGCCTGAATGTGTTTTGTAATGTCGGTCTGACTTTTTCAATCACGTAGGGTCTCACAAAAATGAACCCTCGATTTTTTTTCCCCCAAAGGAATGATAAAAATGCTCTGATGGGGGCAGTTTTAGCTGATAGGGGCATGTTGATCATTCAAAGTTAAACTAAAACTTTGATTCACTCTCCTGTGGGCAGAGGTGCCCTGGCCCCCTTTGCCCCTGGGGGATGCTCCTGGTTCCTCCTCCTGTAGGAGCCTTCATGCTTGTGGGCACCTACATGTGACTTTTCAAACCAGTATAAACGTGGTCATTTAAAAGCTGTCCCTCAAACTGTCCCCCTGCCGGAGTGGACTCAGTGCAGGAAATGCCGCCCCAGGTGACGTGGAGACGGAGCCGCGTCCTCGGCAGCTGAGCCTCTGCCCAGTCAGACGGGTGCTGAGGCCGACGGTGGCTGACGGCATACTACTCAGCTGAGTAACACGGAGTTGCCAGGAAGCAGCTGAGCTGAAGGGAAGTGCACTTTCCCATAGGAGGCGCTTGGGCTTCTTATCTTCTAGGACCTTCAGATTCCGTCCACTTCCTCTAGCAATTTTCTTAGATTAGCGTCACAAATGAGGGACTGGCTGATGGGGACAGAAAACCCACACATTTTAAAAGTAGCAGTGCTTACCCAAGGCACCGGCTCAGCTGCCTGTGTTTGGAAGGGCGGGTGCCTGAGGAGGGCAGGATCAAGACAGGACTTGGCATTATGAGTTGGACGTTGGTGAGACAAGAGGTGAAGTCTGTTGTTCCCAGGAAGTGCCAAGAACTTGGACTCCTTCTGCCTGCTAAATACGCCCCCTCGTGGACATTTGGTAAGAGCGCACCGACAAGTCCCCTCTGTTCAGAGGCAGAGTTGGCTCTTCATTGCCTTTAGGGTGAACTCTCCATTATCGACAGCAAGGACGGGCCCTGGAGTGAGAATGATCTGATCTTAGTATATGTACTTGGATTTGGTTTCAGAATTCACTATGAATTTTTTTCAAAGTTTGCCATCTTCAATATATTACACTGCAGGTAAAATTTTAAGTAGCCCATATTCTTTGGTGAAAAAATTTAATAAATAAAGCAGCCTAGAATATACTGGGACAAGCAGAAAGTAATCAGAGATCAGCCCTTTTTTTGTTTTGTTTTCGGGTTTTGGTTTTTGTTTTAATGTAACTACCCACGAGTCAACAAATAAGAATCTGAGCATTCTGTATTTTTTATTGTGGAACTTACACCACAATCCATTTACTAGGTGCTCTCTATTTGAATGATTCAAGAAAACGAGCATCTAGTTTTCTCCTTGGAATGTGGCCTAGACGTTGGTGTGCATATCTCAGGAATCATCTTCTTTAATTAAGCTTTTGGATAATTGTCAAAAAAATCATATATTGTCAGAAATTTTATATCCACACCGCAAACTGTTTCCCTCTGAAATCTTTTACTCAAACAGTGGCCGCCAAAGAGTAGTCAGAATAATGCCAGTGAAGTGTGGTTCAGTAGGATTGCTGTGTAGACAGTCGGAGTTAAGCCGAGAGCCCCAGGCAGTGTGACTGTGGCGGGACTGGTACAGCCCTTTCACCCCCAGCCTGGGGCCACCTTGATGGCAAGTCATGAAGCATGTTTCTCAGAAAGAGCCGTGGACATGGGTCGGCGCGGTGGTGAGGGTCCAGGTTAGACGTGTGAACCTGTGGTCAGAGACCTGGCGAACCGAGGGAGGTGCATATCCTGTGTGTGCTGTGAAATAATGAATTTTGTCAGCCTGATGCTGCAGCAATACATTGGCCACTGCACCTGTAGTTAAATAGTGGGCGCAGCAAAGCTCTTAAAATCGTTAGGACCTTGTTCAACCTGAATGGGGAGGAGATGGTGCTTTGGATAAATACTGTCATCTCTGTGGTGTCGATAACGTCACCACAGTGCCAGCCCTTAAGAAGGCCGTTAAAAACCAGTGGACTGTCCACAGCTGGTTTTGCGGTGGAGAGTGGATAAGTAGGAACAAATTGAGAGATAGGAAATGTTTCTGCTCCCTCCATGGGGTCCTGACAGCAGCCGGGGGCCTGCAGGTGTGCATACAGGTGTGCATGAATCTCCTGTTACCTGGGACTTCTTACCTGGAAACCAGCGTGTGTACGATACACACAGAATATCTGCTCTGGGCCACTTCCTGTGAGCGGCTCCCCGGAGTTGGGGGGTGGTCCTGTGTATGTTGCATGTGTATTCCACCTCTTTGCACTGGACAATAACTTCTGCGGCTCAGCTTCCTCAACCTCCCTCGTGCTGCGAGTCTCTGGAATGCACCAGCTGTCCTCTCTCGCCATCCCTTCTGTCTGGCGGACCTGAGCCGCTCGCCCCTTCCTGGGGGCCCGGAGCATCCCTGTGTGTGGCCGTGGAGGGGCCCGCACGGCTGGCAGGCAGTGGGAAGGCAGCAGTTGCAGGCGCAGCCGCCCTGTGACGCCAGCCCGTGTGTGTATGTAGGCTCCTTTTGCCTTTTCAAAGTCAACCCCAGATTCATCTTGGCGCTTGAGGGGTGTGAGGGGTGACGAGGACTTGGGGTGGGAGAAGTCCTTGCTGGGATCGGGAGACAGGCCCCGGGGTGGGTCCCGCCGAGCGCCGCGGCAGAGCCCGCGGAAGGGG